TCTTCGATCGGCTGACCACGTCGGGTCTCAACAAGCATCTGACAAGCTACATGCCTGGTCTCACCGCAAAGGTATTCCGTACCTACAACGCCTCGTACACAATGGCTCGGCTGCTCAAGGAGATGAAGGCTACTGGTACAGTCCAGGAGAAGGTGAAGGCTTACAACGATGCCAATCGTGAAGTTGCCATCTTATGTAACCACAAGCGTACTGTCGCTGCGAGTCACGCAACCTCCATCGAGAAGATGAACGAGAGGGTATGTTGTCGTCGCACATTTTACTGTTTTACTATGCTAACTTCTGTCAGATTAATGGTCTTCGTTATCAGGTTTGGAGGACCAAGATGATGATGATCGACGTGGACCCGAAGATCAAGAAGAAGAAGGGTGCTGAGTACTTTGAGCGACCCGAAGACCTCGACATGGAGTGGGTCAAACAGCACCAGGAGGCAGAGATCGAAGAGATGCGACAAAAGATCACCAAGAAGTTCGAGAAGGAGAACGAGAAGCTCAAGGCCGACGGCGAGAAGGAGATGAAGCCCAAGGAGCTCGAGGAGCGTATGGAGAAGGTAAATGAGCTGGCCGCCAAGTACAAGAAGGAGAACAAGACTGGCAAGGTCGAAGCTGAGGGCAAGGGTCCAACAGTCGACAAGCTTGAGGGTAACATCGACAAGCTTAACCAGCGCATTGAGAACATGAAGATCCAGATGGAGGACAAGGAGGGCAACAAGGAGGTTGCCCTTGGCACGTCCAAAATCGTAAGTCACTCCACGCCCATCTTGCATCATCTTTGACTAACCGCAACTAGAACTACATCGACCCTCGTCTCACTGTGGTCTTCTCCAAGAAGTTCGACGTACCCATTGAGAAGTTCTTTTCCAAGACACTCCGCGAGAAGTTCGACTGGGCCATCAAGTCAGTCGACGAGACCTGGGAGTTTTAGAGCAAAGCATACATGCAAGGCGGGGTTTCCTTGTCTTCGGACATCTTCTTAGATTTGCATCGGGTGCACACAGCATCATAGGGTGAGACTGACTGGGCGACATGCGGCGAAGAAAAGCACGATGGCATTTAGTACTATTTCCGTATGAAAGGGCATGGGTGGTACGGTTCGGCGAGCATGCGACATGACTTTGCGATCTCATTTTACTTCAGGGAGTCCACTGCATAGCTTTAAGATATTCATAGTAGCTCTGCGATCTAGCCAGTCATCTACAGCAATATATCAAATAGAGACTCAGCTGAAAAGGATTACTGATGCATATGCAAGTGCGGGACGATCACCATCCTTAGTGACGTTCTATGCATGAACTGCTGTTCGACTCCGAGGTTGTGCATGCATGCCTGTCTTTGAATGCACCGTCACACAGCCTGCTCTGGATGCAAACTACATGTCGGCTGGGTCGCACAATCACGATGGGTGGCATAGAGCGGTGTAAGAAAGTGCGTCGCAGCCAATGATACGGCCTGGGTACCTGCGTTACTTTTATTGATAGGAGGTACAGATCGAAGAGATCCCTAGATTTGCACGCCGTGTGCTACGGCACCCGGCGCCGACAAGCCTCGGAGCCCGGAGTTGCATGACACAACGCCGGTACGAACTGTGTATGTTGGAGGCGCCGTCCCTTGGCTTGACAATTAATGTTAAGTCGCCGACGAGGGCGTTGGGCTGATGAGTAGTCACCATGCCGCGGAATCACAGCAACATCTGACGGCATTCTTGCTCTTCAAATCGGCCGCTACGAGTCCTTACTTGACTCAATGACCATAATATTGAATACATATCGGCAATGCTACGAGCCGAATTTCTTGTCACGTTGCCTAGCCTAGCAGAAGTCATCTGAACTTGTTACGAAGCGAGGGTTTTATGCAGGCTAGACGTTAAGCTAGAAGGACAACCCCAGCATCGTGTCTGTAAAGGGGAAGGCGATTTAGCGACAGACCTCGCGGCTCCGCACTTGTTTGCTTTTTATTCGGTAATCGCTCGTTGAAGGATGGCGAGTGTGGCTTACACATTGTACACAACGTCGGAGAACGCCCAAGGATGATGGCTACGTCAGCCAGGGATTGCCAGATAGCTCTGTTGGTGTGAACTCCCCCTGAGTTCACCCCCACTGTCGGGCTGTCATGCGCCCAAAGTATTGAAGCTCGAGACAAGGTCCAGCACTGCGGGAGCGCGCCGTCGTTCACCGCCCGCTTCTTGTACATCTCCCGCGACAACCGCTATGTATCCAGGAGATAGGAACAGCAAACGTCATGCTGTGAATATGAGGGGATACGGTGGAGCGGATCGCATTGTGTGCTCGTGCCCAAGTTGCATAACGTGGCGGGTGGCGGCGGGCGCCTTCAATACAATTGTCGCGGGCTCGCTACATACGAAGCCCACATAATCTCGGTCGACTTGCTTGCGGAGCGGACCACTATGGTGTGCATTGGATCAGCCACAAGTGCCCGACCATGACTGCTACTGGCGGCCATAGTTGGTTTTTGAGCCTCAGTGATGGGCGTGGCCTCTTGCGAAGAGAATTATCGCCGGGCTTGGGTGTGCACATTTAAATATCGGCCTGACTGCCCCCCTCCTGCGGGTCAATGAGTCGCGCATATTGGGCCTGAGTTATATGACATCGTTGTGGTGCCGCGGTATCCTACTTGGAGTATCTCTCTTCGTGGTTAGTCCCTCTCGTTCCAGCTCGACGCCCGCGATCACGAACGCCGCGTGTTATCTTTCTTCCAACGTGAGCAAGACAGACGATCGCAGCAAGACGCTTCGCCTATAGCAGCCGTGATATTGTCCCTCGCCAGTTGGTTCCTCGCAAAGACGGTCTGAGCGCGATCCGCACCGCTCAAATCTCCACCCCCGACTTTGGCCTTAGCAGACACCATCCGCCCACTGCGCCCTTCAGAATCCCCTAGCGATCTCTTCTTGCGCGCACAGGAGACGCAGATCACGAACATACGCGACCCCAGAAATGGCTTCAGAAAAGCCTTCGGTGCTGATAATAGGAGGGTTGGGTAAGGCTCGCGCTGGGCACAACCCAAGCATGCCACGAGGGCTGACCATGTGCATTAGGCTACACCGGGCGACACCTCACCAAGTACATCCACGACAACAACCTCGCCTCGCAGATTCGCATCGTCGACAAACATCTCCCGGAGCTGGCATGGCTTGCACCTGAATTCAAGGAGGCGTGCTCAAGAGAGCGGTTCATACAGGCGGATGCGGCGCAGGAGAGTGCGTACCCCTGACCATGTCTCTGGGTCCAAGGGATGTCTACAACAAGACGTTCGAGGCTAATTCGAACCCTACAGAATCCCTCCCGCGAATATTCGACCGTGAAGGCGGCGCCGAATTCGACTATGTCTTCAACTGCGGCGGCGAGACCCGCTTCGCCCAAGACGAGAAGGTCTACGAGCTCCGCTCCTACGGCCTGTCCATGGCCATTGGCCGCGAAGCCGCGAAACGCAAGGTCAAATGCTTCCTCGAAGTCAGCACCGGCATGGTCTACAAGCCCGACAGCGCACCGAGCAAAGAGTCGGACAAGCCGAAACCCTGGTCGAATCTCGCGAAATGGAAACTCAAGGCTGAGGAGGACCTGGCCAAGATCGAAGGCTTGAACCTGATAGTGATGAGGATGGCACACGTCTACGGGCCGTACACGAGCAAATACCTGAGCACGGCGCTTTGCATGGCGAGGGTATACCAGAGCAAAGGAAAGGAGATGCGCTTCCTGTGGAAAGAAGACCTGAAGACGAACCTGGTGCACATTGAGGATTCTACGAGAGCGCTGTGGCATGGCGTCGAGTGGTACATGAAGGGGCCCCCAGGACGCAGACCGGCACCCACCTTCAACATTGTGGATCATGCGAATCACTGTAAGGCCTCTCCACACCACGTCATCCTATCTACTGCAGTACTGACATGACGTTTAGCCCAAAAAGACACTGCCCAGCTCATGGGTAAGATCTTCAACATCGAAACCGGCTTCCACGGCACACTCATCTCAGCCTTTGCACGATTGAACCTCGACCATGTCGTCGACGAAGTCAACGACGAGACGCTAGACCCCTGGGCAGAACTGCAACAAAAAGCCGGTATCAGCCAATCGACACCGCTGACACCGTACATGGAGAAGGAGCTGCTGAAAGATGCGGATCTGAGCATGGACGGGAGTCTGTTCGAGAAGGAGACAGGCTTCAAGTAAGTCACACCACTATTCACATAGAAGATTAAGCCAGCGATATCTAACAAACCACCAGATACAACGTAGAGAAGATCACCAAAGAAAAGGTCGAAGAGGTCATTGAGAGCTACAAGAGGATGAACTGGTGGCCATAGCCTTGGCCGCTCGCCTCGCCCACTTCTTTTCCATCGATACCCTCCTTCTTGTCACGACCTTCCTCACGACGAACCCCCTTTCCCGTATACCCAACCACCAAAACCACCACCTTTTACATCTTCCAAAACGACAACCGATTGTTCAGTTCAGCATAGCATAGCAGCGAAAGCATGCATTACTTGGAGCTCTGGGCTCCCTTTGACCCGATTCGACAATTTCTCCCCTTATGGTCTTCTTATGTCTTGCGGGCATTTGTATCTGGCAGTCGCTTTTCCCTTGTGTGTGTGTGTGTCAACCTTCTTCCTGTATGTTTGGGGCATGTATCTGGTTTGCGCACGGTACTGTATGGTGTTGATCTTTGCTGCTGCTGTCGGAGCATGCGAGTCTTGGTGTTACATACCCCTCAATCTAGCATTTGTTCTTGACTTGCCGTAAGATGACCAACTGTGCTCATTGACTGTTGGCTTGTGCTATAGCTTCTGTGAGGTACGAAATGCTGAGAACAGGTGCGTTGCCTGGGCTAGACCAGCAATGTAAAACATCGCCGGAATCCTACCCAATGACTACATGCTATCGATCCCACCAACCCATCTCCATCATCGAAACCTCATCGCATCCCTCATTCTAGATATCGATAACCTGACTAATTCGCTAGCTACCCAGGCTACGAATGATCTTCGATGATGACCTCAAGCTTGATACCCTTCTGGATCTTGAGTTGTTCCACCCAAGTGGCGCTCCCTCCCACCACAGCATCACGCTCTGACATTTGCTTTGGACTCAGACCCCGCAACACAGCCTTCTTTAATTTCGGAAAGGTCTTCATACCCACCATCCAAGGAAAATCGCACTGTGTTCCGGTCCAGCTGTAAAGCCGTGCCTGGTCGAAGACGACGCTCTGGATAGTTTCCAACTGTTCGCGCGAGAGCTTGCGGTTCACGGCCCAGTAGTAGTGCACGAGGGTTACGTAGGGAAAGTTGAAATTGTTTCCGGAGTAGAATACCAGACGCGATTCAATGTAGATTTGTCGACAAGTCCTTAGTAAGGCGAGGGCGTAGGGGGCTAGTCCGCGGTCGAACTTGGCGCTTCCCGTGTAGACGGTGACTTCCTTGTTGTTAACGAGGGTGAACTTGTAGATCTTCTCGCGAATCTCTGCAGGCAGTGCGAGAAGACGTGTACGCGCGTTGGATTGTGTACTTTGTTTCGTCAATTAAATTCTGCTACATTGGTTGCTCTGTTCCTTACCGAGGGAGCAGATATTCGGGAGTATTCCCTGGATTCGGTAGGGCATCATCGGGACGAATGCTCAACTTCGGATCCATGATCGCGGTAGTTGTAAGTCAGAGGTGGAAAGGGTTTGCTGCGATAAGCACGCGACTGGTCAGACCGCGACTAGCGCAGATAGTCAAGAGCCATACGCATCTGTGAATGGAAAGTCTCATTCACTGTGCTACCAGCTCACGATACGATCAAGAGCTTCTAGTAGCGATTCTCTCTTCGTGCATTCTCGAAATTGGTACGACACAAGGTCAGTGAATGTATTATCTTGTTTGGCAGACTATACGAGCTGGATGATTATTGTTATGTCGCACTTTGAATGAATACCTTGATTACGAATGCGCACTAGATACCCTGTCAAAACGAGATTGATGACATCTTTGATTCTAGTGCGAGCTCACCTACTATACCAAAGCTTTCTCGAATCGAATGCTTTCACAACCCTTTAACCGATGTTGAAAAATCCAAGCTCAGGCTAGTACGGTTAGAAGCATCTTGCTAGACGCGTTCTGCTGAACCCGAATCAGGAGCTAGCTATTGTTCATCGATCTCGATAGGGTCAACGACCTCGACGACCTCAAGGACACCACGCTCCCGCATCGTCACATAATCCTTCCAATCATTGAAGCCAGCATGTTGCGCCAACAACTTGACGAAATTGACGTCGGAACCAGTTTCAGTGACGTCAACTTCAATCCAAATTCGCCGCAAGTTCGGGAAGAGGAGCGTGAACGGCATAGCTAACGGTTGTGGGGAATGAGAACGGTAGGATTTCCAGTCAAACGGGCAACTACATCCTCGTGCGTACCGTGAGCAGCCGCCAAACCCCGTTCCGTTGACCGAATCAAAAAGGAAGGGGTTATTAACTTGGATAGTTTGTATGCCTTCTAGCTGGGCTTGGTTGCGGCTTCCTGCAAAGGCATCGCGTTTGGAACGGCAGCTCACGACGAACGTGTTGAGTGCGTAAGGTAAGACAGCGGTCTCTGTATAGATCTGGCGGCATACGTATGGCAGCACAAACGCGAGCTTTCGCAGTTCTCCAGGCTTGTAGTCATCACCACTATTTTGCCAAATATCAAGTCCGGGGACGTTCATTGATATCTGGAAGCCGCCTAGAACTTCCTGAAATATCATGTTACGAATCTCCGCAGGTAACAAGAGGAGATTCGTCGACGCGTTGTGTTGGGTCCTAGTACATTAGCGTCTGACGTAGCCTTGGAGATAGTACTTACTTGGACAGCAAATGCTCTGGAGTGGGATCCATCTGCACCAGTCCATTCTTCTGGTAAGTAACTGCTGGCGAAGGGCCTCGATAATAAGGGGCAGAGTGTTGAGGATTCGCCATGATTTGAGCCAGCTTGCGCTGACGATCCAACGCTTTCCAGGCGCCGAGACAATTTGGCATGGCTACTAGATCTGACGTTAGACGTATGATTGGAAGGACAGTGGCCGGTTTGTCGGGTCGTATAGAGCCGATGATGGAGACTGGGCAACGGTTACAGTGGTAGTGTACAACTGTGGTTCCTTCGAGATCGCTTATCTTATAATTGGGCAGATTATCAGAGTAGAGACCCGTTCTTTGAACGGCCAGTCACTTTGAGTACTTGCAGGGGAATTGCTCGACATCTGGCTGCCTGGGGACAGCCTCGTTCGGTCACTAACGCCACTTTCATTGTCGGATACGCGCTACTCCTGTCACATATATCACTGCCGTATAGTGAAATAATCATAGTAATACAGCCGGAAACAGATAGGCAGAAACAATGACCCTGTCTGATGGGTGGCAGTGATGGAAAAGGGTTGTTGTGACAGGAAGCGCAGCAGAATGGATAGTCGGCTAGGGTGTTCGTGGCCGCCCAATCATCATTCGCCTGGTGTTGGAAACGGGACTGCGCCCGAACGTTCCCGCCCTACGACATCACTGCAACAACATCGAAGCAAGCAGGTTGTTTATAAAGTTTAGGAGGAATCAAGCAAGATTTGCTGTAGTTCCATCAGATATGCGTTTCATATTGCTTTGCAGGTCGAGAACGCAAGCACATACAGATCAGCTGCGGGTGGAAGGCAACCGCGGCATGTAGCTCGCTCAGCCTCGCAAGATGCGGTCTGACCTTTACGTGCTCAGAGAGGTTCATTACTGCCTAATCTGAGTATAGGAACGGATGAATACGCTGCTGCGCCCTGTTGGTTTGATAGCTTCATATATCCATGACCAACATGGAAGAAAGGCAGGCGGCAGTCTGTCTTCCCTCCTTGCTCCCTCTCCACCACAATGTCCCCTCTCCGCCGCACGAAGCGACCACCAGGCAAGATGGCTGCAAAACCTATCTGTCACCTACTACGCATGCCGTTGGCGATACTTCTCATTGTACTAGAAGACGTGTGTACTCGAACGATTGCTTCACATCGTTTCCCTCTTCTGATCACACCTGTCAGGTTCACGACACTGACCGGGAAGCCTTCTTCAAATTTCGTCTCGTCTCTAAAGCATGTCGCAATGAGTCTCAATACTTATTCTTCCGCAAATTTACTATCCATGATCGCACCCTCCTTGGGCCGACCCTGTCATCGCCGATGCTAGAGAGGCTCAGGGACAGAAATGGGAAAACTGGAGAATATGTCAGGCATCTCAAGATAGGTCCTTTCAAGGATGAGGACAAGTTCAGGCTCGAGATTTTACCCGTGCTGGACACTGTCCTAAGGAGCGTCAGTAACTTACAAGATCTTACCTGGCGTGTGAACTGCGAACTTCCGCCAGCCCTGCTCAACTTGTTCTCCGAACTGCATCCCTCGGCGCATTTGCACTGGATTTTGAAGAATCGCAGGTTCCATCCTCTAGACCACCGTCTGCTTTCGTCTCCCCAGCTTCACACTTTCGATGCGGAAGTTTACGCAACCGTACCTGAGCAGACCGGACACTCCCTGAGTGAACTTGAATATATCAAAAACACTGTGCCAGCTAGTCTCCAAGTTCTGCGTCTCACTACTATCGACGTTGATGGCTCTGTCCAGCGTGCGCAATTCGAAAATTGGGAATACGTCAAGTATAGCATGTTCCATTTCGAATTCGAGCCTGGCGATCAGTTCCCTGCGCTCTTGGAGTTGGCCTTGAGGCAGGGCGATTTTGCGTTTACAGAGCAAAACTGCAACTTGTGGGCGCGCGCAACGTCCTGGGAACGCCTGGAACGCTTAGATCTCCCCAACGGCACGTCGCCTCAATTCATCGCCTCCCTCACCAACCGCGCCATCAATATCAAATACCTCAGATTTCACATCAGTACGACGAACTTCATGATCAAGAGACAATATCGCCCATACAGCGGTGGAAACTGGCTTAACGCTAGCGTTGACACTATGTCTATCATGGCAAGATTTCTAGCTTCGATCAAATCTCTCCATACCCTTGACTTCGCGTACGAAGACAATGAGACCCTAACGAGATATCTACGCTTCATGTTACAGAGTCTTCATGGAAGTTTAAGGAGCTTGACCATATCTGACATGGGTGGTTACTATCACTTTCCCATGGACCCCTTACCCTCTGGAAAGCCGTATTGGGATCCGGAGCAATACCAAGAGGTGCTTGAGCTAGCACCCGGCTTGGAGCATTTTGATGCGCAGATTGGTACGACGAACAGGGTTGTGGGAGACTGGCAAGGCGAAGATCGCTATGCAGATGTTAAGAAGAAGTGGAGGACCGCGAAAAAGACCATCACCGCTTCCCAAAGGGTGAAAACACAACGGGCCAAGAGAGCGCAAAGATTGATTTTATAGATAGCGGCGTCGACGCTTACATACGTCTCTACGCGGATGCGAAAGTGAGCTCCACGCAGTACTTCGTGTATCGTCACTGGGCTGATGGTGGTGTCGAGTTCTTCTGCCAACATCGAGGCGCATCCCAACTTCTCGGATCTGTATCGGAAGCATTGGCCGCTTTGGTGCAAGCCATTCGTTGTCATCGACAGAACTTGCAGTGATGGCAGCACGGGTTGAGGAAGCGGAGAGGAATGTTGTTGGGTTGGGTGTCGTCACGAAATGGGAAGGTGGTGGGTTCGTAAACTTCGCGGGGTAATAAACCTGTTTCCTTTGTCAATTCGTCTTGTCCAATACCCAATGAAGCTCGTATAGCGTCTCTCGCATCTGACTGCCTAGTGCATGTTAGAATCTTCGGTACTATGGCGATGCTAAACGTGAGAAAGGGGTTTCCAGATGATCAATGGCCCCGCCTTGTCTGAGACCGAACTGAAAGATGCGACAGAAAAGACACTCGTATTCAGGAGACAGAACGAAATCGATTTCGGCCTTTTCCCAGCCTGAGGTACTCTATATTGAACGAGCCTGACTATTGCACAGATTTATATAACATTGATTGACTTGACTGGTGGATGCTATAGGACGCTTATGCCTTCTGGACGATCCCTGTTGCTTGTTAGCTCATGCCGCACGTTTGAAATGCAATGCCACATACTCTCAATGTCAGTGACGCTCTGATCAAGGATCTGCTTGAGGGTCTTGGGGTTCTCGAGCTCCTTCTCAATCTTGGCGATGATGGACTCGGCGAGCTCCTTCTGCTGCCTCTGCTTGACCTGGCCCTCGTAGCGGACCCACGAGTCGAGGACGGACTTGGCCTCGGCGGCGATGGCGGTCTTCTGCTCAAGCTCGAAAGCCTGGGCCTCGAGCTGGGCGGTCTCCTGTGGGGTTGTCAGTGTGTGGTCCTTGCATGTCCTCTGCCGTCGCGTCGCACCTTGGAAACCTCGAAGAGGGTCTTGGTGATGTCAATGACACCGCCGAGATCCTGGACGCTCTCGATGCGCTGCTTAACAGCGGTGGTGTGGTCCTGGCGGGCAGCGTTCAAGATGCCGGAGATCTTGTCGGCCTGCTGTTGCGCATACTCTCCCCAGGCAGGTCCGGCGTACTTGGCAACGGCCCAGAAGATGGTCAGGAGCGAGAGGGCGACAATCGACTCCTCGTTGACGACGTAGAGCTCGTTGCTGATAGCGGCGACACTGAGACCGGCGCCGGCGGAGAGGACGGCGGCCTTGGT